ACTTTCCTCTCAGGACTGCCTTTGCTGCATCCCAAAGATTTTGAACAGTTGTGTTTTCATTTTCATTGGTTTCCATGAATTTTTTTTAATTCTTCTTTAATTTCCTGGTTGACCCATTCATTCCTTATTAGGATGCTCTTTAGCCTCCATGTATTTGAGTTCTTTCTGTTTTTCCTCTCTGATTGAGTTCTAGTTTCAAAGCATTGTGGTCTGAAAATATGCAGGGAATAATCCTAATCTTTTGGTCCCAGTTGAGACCTGATTTGTGACCTAGGATGTGATCTATTCTGGAGAATGTTCCATGGGCAGTAGAGAGGAATGTGTATTCTGTTGCTTTGGGATGGAATGTTCTGAATATGTCTGTGAAGTCCATTTGGTCCAGTGTTTCATTTAAAGTCTTTATTTCTTTGTTGATCTTTTGCTTAGATGATCTGTCCATTTCAGTCAGGGGGGTGTTAAAGTCCCCCACTATTATTGTATTGTTGTCAATGTGTTTCTTCGCTTTTGTTATTAATTGCCTCTTATAATTGGCTGCTCCCATGTTAGGGGCATAGATATTTACAATTGTTAGATCTTCTTGTTGGATACACCCTTTAAGTAGGATATAGTGTCCTTCCTCATCTTTTATTACAGTCTTTGCTTTAAAATCTAATTCGTCTGATATAAGGATTGCCACCCCAGCTTTCTTTTGGTGTCCATTAGCATGGTAAATGGTTTTCCACCCCCTCACTTTCAATGTGGGGGTGTCTTTGGGTCTAAAATGAGTGTCTTGCAGACAGCATATCGATGGGTCTTTTTTTTTTTTAAATAGCAAAATAAGTTTATTAAAATATATTTTTTATACATAAAACTTAAAAATATTTCAGGATTATATACCTTAAACTTGCAGTTTCATCCTCCAGGTAAGAATTACAAAACAGAACAGCATGTATTAAGAATCGGTTATTTGTATTCTTGACTATATTCATGCACACTACATAAAATTCAGTTTTGTCTAAGAACTGGCAACTTACAAAATAGTAATGTCAAACCTAAACTGTGTGTATATGTTCCAATTTTTATCTATAAATGATTCTTAGACATAAATTAGTCCTAATTGAATAAAAATCTTGGCTTAAAGTTTTGGTAGCATGACAGCACGAGCTCTGAAAAGATATTGTCTCCCATATGCTGGCTGTACGGCCTTGGGCAAATCACTTTTCGTTCTGTTTCCTTATCTACAGAGAGTAGAAGTTAATACCTACTTCAGAAATGTGACGTTAAGAGCTTAGCACAAATAGTTAACAAATTTCAGTGCTTACTCATATATATATTCAAAAAGTATGTGGCATTTTTGTATTGTAACTAATAAACTTCAGTCTAAAGTTAATATGTTGTATTTATATTTCAATACCTTAATTATTTAGCTCCCCCCACCACCTCTATTAATACCCTCCAAATGTTCTTTGCCCACACGATTGTTAACTGTGCTAGATATATATTCTGATTCTGGTCATATATTTGACTTGATACAGCCAGCCATCTTTGTGGTAAGATATTCTCAGCAGATAAGCCTTTAGGAGCATTTTAGAACTACAGCCATATTAATTAATTATAATTTATATGTAGTATAGAACCAGGAGCATTCCCTAAAATGACCTGAAAAGTCTCTGAACTAGATAGGGTTCCTAGGGAATGGATCTAAGAGCAACAGCCAATTTGGAATTCTGGAAAACAAATGACCTTTTACTTAGTTTCCATGGACAAAAGGGCCAAAAGTCCTACCACAAGCACCACAATTCCAGTCCCTGTTAACAATAAGGAAACTAATCAAAGGGATTTGACTTAAGAGCTACACAGGCTCCCATTTAAGCAAAATTCAAGAAAGTTAAATTATTGGTACTTTGATAATAACCTAAGCAAATGGCAGAAAAGCCCATTTTTGAGACAAATAGAGTTAACATGATGCCACCTAAATCAAATGATGGATTATAGCAACAATATACCATGCTGGTAAAATGTTTTGAATTTTTAATCCAAGAACTGATTTGACTGGCAAAACTAAAAGCACTAACCAAAAAGTCAAACTTACACAAACTACAGAATAAAATAAGACCATTATTTGAAAAGGTCACTGGTCCCTAACAAAATATTTCCAAAAGCAATAGCTTTGTCAGGAATGAATGTTGATAAACATTTTAGGGCTCTTAAATCTATCTTAAAATGTATAAATGCGTCAGGTATGTTTGATCAAAAATATCCTTAATGTAAGCAATCCCTTATCACTTTTAGACTTTGCTACTTGAATTTAAAACCTCTACTCACCATCCTTATTTGGCCAAAGGCTTTCAAGCCACATCAAAATAAAGGCCTATACACTCTCAGGATTTTGCCATCTTTTAATCTAAAAACTATACATAAAGAACTGCAACACTAACCACTGCAGTAATAGAATGCTAAAAGACAAAAAAAAAATGCTAAAAGATAGTATTGGTACAGGAATGTTTCAATGCCACAGCGATAAAGTAAATGGGATAATGTATTAAATCGAGTGAACTAGACACTCTGGTTTAGACAACTTATGTATCATTTCTAACTTTGACAGACTTCCATCATCTAAGAAGCATGGATGGTTTAACATATTTCTATATATTTGTTGTAACTCTGATAGTTCAGTTGGCTATTTTGTTTGTCCATTCTACCCTATTTCTCCCTTTAGCAATGGTTTAGTCTGCTGTACAGAATGCCTATTTAAACAATTCAGATTTGAATTTTCAACGAGAAACTATTTTCCACATGAATTCCTTCAATAAATGTAAAGTGTGACATAGCATATTCTTTAAATCATGCAGATTGTTAGACAAACTTTGATAAACAGATAGAGAGACTTCAGAAAAACATATTGAAGTGATTTCATTTAAAAAGGTCATTATGTGTTGGTTAAAAAAGAGGATCAACATCAGTATCACTGAAATTAAAGTAACTATAACAATGTTTAAAATCTTAAAAAATTCAACTTCTTTTTCATCTTTATCAGGCCAGGAACATGGCATCCTCTTTGAAGAAATTTTCATTTCAGGAATGAGAAGTTTCTTAATTTGTCCAATTTCTGTTCTTCTCCAATCTTCTTTCAATATTTGGCTTACTCAAGGATAAATTTCAACAGGTTGAACCTCAGGAAGGGGTCTTTGTTTCAAAATCTGCACGTGTTGGCGGATATCATCAACTTTTTCAAGAAATTTAAGTGGAGACTCTTCCTGTAAAGATGATGTCAGTGTCATTAATTCAAATTGCTGCTCTCTTATTTCTTTCATTCTTTCAATTTGTGGAGTATATTCCTGATTAATCAGATTGCTAACATCACAGAGAGCAGCTAGGAAAACTTTTTTTTTCTGTTCTAATGTATCACTAAGCTCCTTAAAATACTGTAGAACAACTTCCTTATCACTTTGGACCATTTTTTCTGAATGAGATTTCTGTTCTTCCAGCTTTTCAATAAGACAAGTAAGATCTGTCCAGTGTGTGTCAGTTAACTGTTCAAGTAGTTTTTGAGGCGTGTCCTTTTCTTTCAGATAAGCACTTTGAAGATCATATATGGGATGGCCATGATGTTGACCTATGGTAAGGCAATGACCACAAACTAGTTTTTTTAATCTAGGAGACAGTAAACATTTAATGGTTGTCTGTAATGTTCAGGACAGTTGACAATATCTGGATGGTCTTCTTGCTGGTACTTTTCAAAATAGCCCTTAATGCAAAATTAACAGGTAAAGATTCAATACCAGTTGGAGCAATTTCAATAATACTTCTGCAATTAGGGCATTTGAGTGGAATTTGTAAAGGTCTCCATATATAAAAGTTCCCAGATGCTTGAAGAACGTTTTCCAAACAATTTCTACAAAATGTATGAGAGCACGGTAGTACACAAGGATCTTCAAAAATACTGTAACAAATGGGACATGTTAACTTGTCATCAGAATTGTGCATTTCCTACTTTGCTGATCTTCTGGCTTAGTGATTGAATATACTTGATCTTCTCCAACTTTTTCAGTTTCTTTTATTCGTATTCATGGGAAGTTGGAGACCAACCTACTCCAACAGACCAGAACAGCTCTACGGCCTCCAGACTCCACGTCCCCGAGATGCTTGGCGTCCCCGCCCTCCTCTGATGGGTCTTCTTTTTAATCCAATCTGATAGCCTATGTCTTTTGATTGAGGCATTTAGCCCATTTACATTCAGGGTAACTATTGAAAGATATGAATTTAGTGCCTTTGTATTCCCTGTAAGGTGACTGTTACTGTATATTGCCTGTGTTCCTTTCTGGTCTATGCTGCTTTTAGGCTCTCTCTTTGCTTAGAGGACCCCTTTCAATATTTCTTGTAGGGCTGGTTTCATGTTTGCAAATTCCTTTAGTTTTTGTTTGTCCTGGAAGCTTTTTATCTCTCCTTCTATTTTCAGTGACAGCCTAGCTGGATATAGTATTCTTGGCTGCATATTTTTCTCGTTTAATGCTCTGAAGATATCATGCCAGTCCTTTCTGGCCTGCCAGGTCTCTGTGGATAGGTCTGTTGCCAATCTAATGTTTCTACCATTATAGGTTACATATCTCTTCTCCCAAGCTGCTTTCAAGATTTTCTCTTTGTCTCTGAGACACATAAGTTTTACTATTAGATGTTGGGGTGTTGACCTATTTTTATTGATTTTGAGAGGGGTTCTCTGTGCCTCCTGGATTTTGATGCCTGTTTCCTTCCCCACATTAGGGAAGTTCTCTGCTATAATTTGCTCTAATATACCTTCTGCCCCCCTCTCTCTCTTTCTTCTTCTTCTGGGATCCCAATTATTCTAATGTTGTTTTGTCTTATCGTATCGCTTATCTCTCGAATTCTGCCCTCGTGATCCTGTAGTTGTTTCTCTCTCCTTTTCTCAGCTTCTTTATTTTCCATCATTTGGTCTTCTATATTGCTGATTCTCTCTTCTGCTTCATTTATCCTAGCAGTTAGTGCCCCCATTTTTGACTGCACCTCATTAATAGCCTTTTTGATTTCAACTTGGTTAGATTTTAGTTCTTTATTTCTCCAGAAAGGGTTTCTCTAATAACTTCCATGCTTTTTTCAAGCCCAGCTAGTATCTTTAAAATCATGATTCTGAACTCTAGGTCTGACATCGCACTAATGTCTGTATTGAGTAAGTCCCTGGCAGACAGTACTACCTCTTGTTCTTTTTGTTGAGGTGATTTTTTTCGTCTTGTCATTTTGTCCAGAGGAGAATAGATGAATGAGAGAACAAAATGCTAACAGGTTAACAACGTCCCCAGAAAATATACTCTAAACAAATCAGAAAGACCTGAAACCAGGGGAAAAGAAAGGGAAAAAAAAAGAAAGAGAGGAAAAAAAAAGGAAAAGATAAAAACAACAAAAACAGAACAAAACAAAAAAACAGAATATGATCAAATATGATCAGGCTGGTGCATAGATCAGTGCCGCACACTAGATTTTGGGTGTATTTTGGTCTGTTAGAAGAAAGTGCCTCCTAAAATTTTAAAGAAAGACTTATATATATACAAAATAAGGGTTGATACAATGAAGGGATGGAATATGACTGTAAAAATGAAAATTATAAAAAATTTTAAAAAAGGAATTGATTGGAAGGTGTGTGAAAAAATAAAGAAGATTTTAAAAAAAAGGAAAGAAAGAAAGAAAAAAAAGGGAGAGAATGTGATCAGGCAGGAGACTAGAACAAAGCCATACACTAGAGATTTAGGGTATATTTTGATCTGTTAGAAGAAACTGTATCTCAGAATTTTAAAGAGAGAACAACTTATATATATATGCCAAAAATAAGGGTAACTACTATTAAGGGATAGAATATGACTCTAAAAATGAAAAATAAAAATGTTTTTTTAAAAAAAGGGATTGATAAGATGTTGGTTGAAAAAGGGAAAAAGAAAAATTAAAAAAAACAGTTAAAAAAATTAACTTTGAAAGACTAATGAATCATGTTAAAAAAAGCCATGAATCTATGTGCAGTATTCCCCTAGTGCTGGAGTTCTCCCATTCTCATTGATTGGTAAACTTGGTCTTGGCTGACTGTTCGTGCTGATCTTCTGGGGGAGGGGCCTGTTGCCGTGGTTCCCAAATGTCTTTGCTGGAGGCGGAATTGCCCCGCCCTTGCCGGTCTGGGCTAAGTAATCTGCTTGGGTTTGCTCTTGGGAACTCTTGTTCCCTGCAAGCTTTCCGTACAGCATTGGAGGAGAGAGTGAAAATGGCGGCCTCCTAATCTCTGCCTGGGAGGAGCCGAGAATTCAGGGCCCCACTCCTCAGTGCGCCCCCAGAGAAAAGCAGTCAATCACTCCTGTCTCCCGGTCTCCGGCCACACTCCATGCTCACCCAGCCTGTGACCGAGCATTTCTATCTCTGGCACCCGACCCGGTGTGGAGTCTCCAAACCCAGCAGATCCCTGCAGTGCACTCCCATGCTGCTCCTCCCGGGGGAGGAAGGGAAGTATCCCCAGATTTGCCGCTTGTTGGGTCCCTGCTGGAGGAGCAGTGGCCCAACTGTCACCGATCACAGTTTATGGCAACCCTGAGCTGAGAGCTTGCTCCTCAGCTCTGTCTCTGCAGCCGGCTTCCCCACTCCGATACCTGGGAGCTCTGCTGCACTCAGGCACCCCTGGTCTTTCTGTGACCCCGAGGGTCCTGAGACCACACTGTCCCAGCGAGGGTTCCACCCCCCGCTTAGCCACTGGAGTGACGTCCCTCAGCGGAGCCGGCTTCTAAAAGTTCCGATTTTGTGCTCCGCGGCTCTATCACTTGCCAGAAGTGGCTGACGGAGTCCCCTTCCCCTGCCGTCTATCCTCTCGAATATCGCCTCAGATTGACTTCTCCACATGTCCTACCTTCCAGAAAGTGGTGGCTTTTCTGTTCAGAGTTGTTGCTATTCTTTTCTTCGATCTCCTGTTGAGTTCATAGGTGTTCAGAATGGTTTGATCCCTATCCAGCTGAATTCCTGAGACCAGACGAAATCCAGGTCTCCTACTCCTCTGCCATCTTGCTCCGCCCCCCTGCTCTCCCCTTTATACCCAGGGCTCTGAAATTTCTCAGCCACATGCTTGGGTGTGGCTCTATTTTCATCCATCATGCTGAACACTCAGACCCTTGTTATTCAGTTCTAGGACATTCTCTCAAAGTTTCAAATTGATTTCCTATTTTCTTTGTCCTTTTCTTTTGGAAACTTGGTATTTAAATTTTTAGAACTAGTACTCCAATTGTCTTTTTTCCTTGTATTTTCTGTCCTTTTTTTCCTTTCCTTTTGCTCTGCTTTCTAAAAGATTTCTCCAACACTATCGCCTAATCTTTCTTAATTAATTAATTTATTTTTTAATTTTAATTTTTTAAAAATTTATTGTCTAATCTTTAAGCTGAGCTTTTAATTTCCACTCTGGCCAGAACACATATTCTTCTACTTACCTGGGAAGGAAGTTTAGACTATTTTTCTGGAAAAAGTAGACGGTTGGCTTTCTGAAGGAAGTGCTTGGATTTTAGCTCTAATGTGGACATGTAGCAGGTATACAATGAAATATAAGGAGAAAGCTGCCCACAACAGCAAGACCAAGGCCAAGTAAATGTAACTGGAACTATAAGCCAGAGCAGGTCTAGGAATAAGCTTACCTAGAAGGCATGTCTACTTGAGATACTCAACTGGACCTTCCTCAGTTTCTTCTGATTGATTATTACATTGGATCCAGATTCTGGGGGAAGGTTCAGCCTAGAAATAGGGTTAAGTGGCCTTAACTTTGAGTAGAGAAAGTTGCAGGCACTGGGAGCCTGGAGGATCATTAAGATATTAAATTTCTCTGAAATGGACATAACCACTCAGAATGCTCCTCTCCACTCCCCCCCACCCAAGTCTTAGAGGCACCAGTGGAATTGCTATTAAATAATTGTGATATACTTTTCCCAGTTGCTTCAAGTTTTGTCCCCCACCCCTCCTATATTTCTAGTAAAACATAGCAGCTCACTAAAATGATGGAGTTCAGCTGCCAATAAAATGGAACAGGTCTGTAGACCCCAAGAAAGTAGCTAGTAAATATTTACATGTGCAACTGAATCTTCTAAGTGTCATGTGCCCTTGATCTTTGTGGAATGCTAGAACTTTTTGCTAACAGTTTAGTATGTTATGGAGATGTGAAAGCAGGCAGATGTTTGGTTCCTAAGAAGGAGCCTTGCTTCTGGGCCTCCTGCCAGTTATGGCTGACGGGTTGTGTCTCAGCCCTGATTTTAGTCCCATGGCTGACTCTTTTTTGTTTTTTGGGTTTTGTTGTTGTTGTCATTGTTGTTGTTGTTGTTCTGTTTTATCTTTAAAGCTCTAGAGATTTGGATTGGTTCTTTTCCTCCTAGGACTGGCTGCTGAGTAAGATGGTATCTTCCCATCTCCCTGCGATGTTGTCAGCAAAAATAAGCACACAGGTTCTTTCTATTTAAGGGTTTTCCTGCTATCCCTTCTTGTCTTGGGGAGCAACCTACAGAGCCAGTTGGTAATAAGCTCAGTGGCTCATTTATAGTTACAACACTAATAAGCACCATGTGGATTCATGTTTGCTCAGTAAATGAAAGTATTTATAAAATTCAGAATTGTTATGATATCTAAAGATTTTCCCCAGAGGCTTCCTCCAGTTGTCTCTTTCATCTTTCCTTAAAATCTCTTTGACTTAAGCCCCTTGAAAAATGGATTTTTTCCCTGGTTTCTATCTTCTTGTCCTTTTAGGTTTGTTGGTAACACTTTCTCTAGGGCAGTGCTTCTCAGACTTGAGTGTGGAAAGAATTCCCTTGAAGAGCTGGGAGAATCGCCGCCTCCTGGGCCCCACTCCCCACTGATCCAAAGTTAGAGGGTCTGGGATGATACTGATGCTGTTGGGCCAAAGTCCACGCTTTGGATTGCACTGGTCTAGAATGTTAAGAACCTGGGTTCTAATGTTGGATAGACTTGGG